AACCCCCCCCCCCCCCCAAGGCACAAGAACTTTTGCCCACCCCAAGGCAAGAAGAAAAAAAAGAGGTGTAAGCGAGTAGGGTTAAAAGCCCTCCAATTGTTTTTGACCCAATGACATTTTACATGGAGTATATAATATGCAGAGTATTATTAGCAAGGTAGCAAGCGATATCCATCCCGTTTCAAATTAAGTTGCATGTTAACCATATATAAAGTCAAATTTTATTCACTTTTTTGAAACAGAGGGAGTAGTGTAGAAGAAGTCCACCACGGTGCTTATTACCAAAATTATTACTCCATATTTTGTGGTCATTTTATACTCCGTACTTTTTTCTATTTCATTTTGGTAAGGCTTGAAGATGGTGAATTCAGGTGCAAGATGGTGACTTTAGGTGCAATAATGGAGCATTTAGCCTTAAAAACCTGCCAAATTTTGAATAAGGTAAACTATGTTTGGTTCAAGTTTTTCACACCTTATTCAGTAGCCCCTTCAGCCACCTGGTCTGGAAATATTTTGAACCTATCCTGGATTATCCTTGTAGAACCATGCTACAAGGATACCAAGTTTGACCCCAATTTTAACCCCACTTTCTCACAGATATTCACAAACACTGAACAGTGTCGGATGTCTGTGTCGGATGTCTGTGAATGTCTGTAATGTTTGTTTGTAAGAGGGTGGTGTTAAAAATTTGGGGTTAAGATATGTAGAACCATGCTACAAGGACACCACATTTGACCCCACTTTTAACCCACTCTCTCACCGATATTTACATAGTGTCAAATGTTTGTGAATGTCTGTAATGTTTGTAAGAAGTTGGGGTTAAAAGTGGGGTTAAAAATTTGGGATTAAGATATGTAGAACCATGCTACAAGGACACCACGTTTGGCCCCACTTTTAACCTTTCTCTCACAGATATTCACAGACATGAAACAGTGTCAAATATCTGTGAATGTTTGTAAGAGGTTGGGGTTAAAAGTGGGGTTAAGATAGCATCTTGCATGTATGTAAATGTCATTTCTAGGGCATTCTTATTGGCATTATCCCTGGCATCATAACCTGGAAAGCCTACAATTCTATGATCTATGGAGACAACAACCATAGCTCACAAGAGGCGATTCAGGTAATCACAAGAGAGATATACACATGGAGCCAATCCTTGACTTATACTCCCTTCGTCCCAAAAAAGGCATCTTATTTCTTTTTTGGGACGTCTAAAAAAATCATTTTCTTTCTCACTCATCTGCATCTTTTTCAACCACACATTTTAACTTTTCTTAAACTTCGTGTCAAGTCAAACTAAGAACCTTTTTTTGGGGACGTATGTGTGTGTGTGTATCTCGAACATTAAAAAAAATCCAATGTCATTTTGTTTCCTTCATATATAAACTCATTGAAAGTCATCACTTTTGGTGAACCAATACTCAGCCATTATTAGCGGAACACTAAAATTGATGACAGTCATCAAACATTTGATCCACAAAGATCAACCAAAACTCATCTAGACAAAGCAACATAAACCAATCCAACGGCCGCAACAGCAATGCAAGAATAAGAAACGCCTTGAACGCGACAAAAGAGCAAGTTCAATTCTTTGGCTACCTGAAGAGTGAGAGTTAGAATCTGCAGCCTGCCTTGTTCCTCCATTTTCCTAAAGAAGCGCATTGGTTTGAGTGACCTTCTAAGCATGAAAGCCAAGGAAACAGGAAGCCCAATGGCCAAGAAGCTCTGCAATGATATCTCAGGCATAGGAGAGCCCCTAGTGGCATAGACAAACCAGGCACCCAAACCCATCTGAACAAGGGCGAGACAAGCCAACGCCTTACTCAAACCATACACATTCTTCATCATCTTCTCCAGAACCTCTCTGGTCTCGTTGGCCAGCGCGGAGACGTCTCGCTCAACAGTGGGGCCAGTGATATCCTGGTGCTTCAACTCAGGGTTTTGGCCAGGGTGCTCGTTAGATCCTTGAGATTCTCTCCTGCCACTTGGCTGATCAAAAGAAGTTACGGATCTGACCTGTTGATGAATCGTAAGCAGAAACCGATCAGAGTACACGGGACTCGGGTGAAATGGGAATTTGCAGCTAGGGTTTCGAGGTAGAGGATGATGTCTTATTTGGGTGTTATATGATTTAGTGGAATCGATGAATGGAGGGAGGAAAGGAGAAATTCTCGTCTTCCCCGAAACATTGCTCCCGGTAGAGATATGAGACACAGACGAAGGAAGAGAAAGATGAGGTCTGAAAATGGTAGAGGTGAATCTCTTGGCGAATCTTGAAGCCATTAGTCCATGACGCGAAGAACTGATGCTGTGTGTGCGTTATATATATAGGGTGAAGGTCCTTTTTTTAAATAAAAAAGTAATACGTGACACGAGTATTGTTCAAAGAACTCATATGTCGTCCTTGTATTTCCAAAAAGAGATCAATGACCCTTGCATTTTTGTAAAGGCTGGGTGGGAACATTCCGTCCACTATTCCATTAATGACCATTTAAAAATGTATTTTATAATGACCATTAACAATGTATTTTTCTTACTATGTTTTACTATAGTCATTTTATTTGCATTTATTTTTTTATATCAGACAAACAATTTTCAATTTTTGAAAATTTTTTTTCTAAGGAATTAAAAAAAACTTTATGAAAAAGAAAAATAAAGAAAAAGAAAATTAAAAAGTGAATACCCTAAACTTTATTAACATAAACCATTAAGGAAAAAATAAGAAAAATACATTCATTAGCGATATAATAGACATAATGTTCCCTCCCAATCTTTACAACAAATTGTAAGAGCACTGGTAATACCCGCAACGCCCCACGGCGTGATGGGGCGTTTAATGCCCCGGCGGCATTAAACACCGCCCCCCTCCGGGCGTTGCGGGCACTGCGTCAAAGGAATGACGCGGCGTCATTCCACTCCCCCCCTCCCCAACAGCTTTATAGCCGTTACAAAATTTAAAAAAAAATTATTTTTTTTCCTATAAATTCAAACCCTCCCCCCTCTCAATCTCTCACACTTTCTCTTCTCAATCTCTTCTTCTTCCCATTTTAAAATTCGAAATTACTCTATTTTTATTCATCATGAATCCTTCCGGCTCCGGCTTCTTTCCCGACGATCTCCCGCCCGTCGACGCCGCGATGTGGTATTACCAAGAGTTGGGCGATCGACCGCCGATGTACGAGACGCAACAACCGGGGTACGTTGACCGAGATTCGGTTCCGGAGACTCAACCGGAACCGTCCGGATCGAAAAAAAGTACACGCCGGAGGAGTCACAAAGCCAAAACCACGTTGACCGAGGCGGCACGGTCAATCCACGTTGGCGTCGGCTTGGGTTGATGTCTCCGAGCATCCTATCGTTGGTAAAAAAAAATTTCTAATATATTTATGTTTTTATTTATATATATTATATTTAATGGTGTCTAAAAAAATTGTGTAATACATTTTTAAAGGTAAGGAGCAAACGATCAATGCGATGTGGGATCGTATCGAGAAGAAGTTCCTCACGGCGATGAAGAAGGACGGCTCCTACCGAACCCGTGACCAACTCACTTCCAAATGGGGCCACATCAACAAAAAAGTCCGAAAGTTTATGGGAGTATACGAGGAATGCTCCTGGTCCCGGAGGAGCGGCACGAACGACGCCGATGTTCTCCGGCTTGCCACGACCCGGTATCAAGACGACGGGAACCAAGGCAAGGTGCCCATCGATCTTTGGAGGATTTTGAGTCGTTCCCCGAAGTGGCAACAACTCAACAATCCCGACGGCGGATCGTTCCGGAAAAGATCCACCGTCGACGCCGAGGTTGAGGTCGACGAGACCATTGGTTCTACCGATCAAATCCCTNATGTTCTCCGGCTTGCCACGACCCGGTATCAAGACGACGGGAACCAAGGCAAGGTGCCCATCGATCTTTGGAGGATTTTGAGTCGTTCCCCGAAGTGGCAACAACTCAACAATCCCGACGGCGGATCGTTCCGGAAAAGATCCACCGTCGACGCCGAGGTTGAGGTCGACGAGACCATTGGTTCTACCGATCAAATCCCTTCCTTCAACGTTGCGGCTTCCGATGACGAGAACCCCATTCCACGGCCGATCGGAAGAAAGAAGGCAAAATCCATTGCCTCTGGTTCGGGAGGGTCCGCCTCTATTTTCGCTTCTCCCCGTGACGAAATCGGCCTGGCAATGGTTGAACAACTTCGGGCGTTCAATCTCCAAGAACAGGAGAGGTTGAAGCTTAAAGAGAAGGAGTTGAAGCTAAAGGAGCAGGAGGCCGAGATGAAAGTCATGCAAACCGACCCCGGGACGTTGTCGGAGTTTGGACGAATTATCTACGAGTAAAGAGTGAGAGGGATCAAGGAGAAATATAATTTACCTTAGTTTTTTTATTAATGTATCTTTTTTTTAAAATTATTGTCGCTTTTTTTATTTAATTAATGTGTTTTTTTATTATTCATGTTTCAATTTAATTAAATAATAAATTAAGTACATTTTATTAATTTAATTTTAGAAGATGTATATTTAAAAATGTAAAAAATGAAGGTTTGAAGCTCAGTTTTGAAGCCCCGGGGCTTCAAACCCATTTTCAGTGAATTTTGGGTGTAAGTTAAAGCTGACGTGGCAGAGAGAGAAAGTTTGAAGCCCCGGGGCTTCAAACGTATTACCAGTGCTCTAAGGTCCCATAATGCCTTTTTTGAAAATACAATTTCCTACGAGTTATTCCAACAAAACCTGCATCCCTCGATAGTAAATTTTTGTTTTTTTTCACGCAGGGTACCCTTTCTAACAAAATCATACCCCAACTTTAAAAATTACAGCAACCCGATATCCTCTCGTCGGAACTGTCATATTTCGGCAATCCAGTGATGAGTTGGTACCCCATGTGGCTTTTCTCTCTTCTATATGTTAATTGTGCCTTCTATTCATAATGATTTTTTCTTATGTTTTCAATTTTCAATAAATAACAAAAAGAATTGTTTTCCTTTTAAGTTAACATACTTTTGTTATTAATGTCAAATGATGATATAAGATTAAATTAAATTAAACATGCATTAAAATTTTAAAAATAACAATTAAATCATTGCAAACAAGTTTTTTTATATTCACAAAAATATAGTTTTATTTAAGAAAAAAAGGAAAGAAAATACACAGGTACAAGTGGTAAGTGCAATATTTTAATTTTTAAATAAAACTATATTTTCTAAATATAATAGAAAAACTTGTTTTCAACTAAACTTGTTTAATTAAATTAAACTTGTTTTAAAAAGATTTTTTCATAATCTTTTTAAAACTAATTGTTAATTTTAAAATTTTTAATGCATGTTTAATTTAATTTAAATTAATAGTATATTATCATTTGACGTTTATACTTTTTTTGTTATTTATTGAACATAAAAAGATTATGAAAAAATTAGTATAAAGAAAAGGCACAATTAACATGTAAGAGAGAAAAAAGTCACATTGGATGCCAACTCATCACTCAACCGCTGGAATATGACAATTCCGACAGGGTAAAAACTGGAAAATCTTGAATCCTCTTTTTAAATTTTTTAAAACTTGTTTTTCAAGAAAACGTAGCTTGATTTGAATTGATTTTAACACTACTATTAATTTTTATATTCATTGGGCGTGTTTCAAAAATTATATTAATGCAAAATAATTTAATCAGTAATATGATAAGATTTCTTTCAAAAAAATACGATAAGTTTAAAATGAGTTTTATACTTCCGTTAGTTTGTGGAATTTCAAATATATTATAAAGTTGCACTTGAAAGTATTTAGTTTTAGCAACAATAATGATGGGTTTTAGAACCCGGGACCTAGGTAGAGTATCGTTCGAGTACTGAGTGCATGTCTTAAGTTGTAGGAGTATAGAAAAATATATTAGCTTAGTAGTAAAAATCAACGTCCTTCTTCCCCTCCCGGGGAGGGGTATTTATACAATACATATATTTGGACTTTTCCAACCGTTTGTCTACAGCCTAGCGGGCTGGGCCCACTGAGGCCAAGCCGTCCGATTGACAGCGCCAGCAATATGATTACAAACTAAGATGGCTACAAGTAATAGGTAGACAATAGGATGGCTACAACCAATCGTATAGACTAGTGTATCAAGATGTCCAATCGCAGGCCCGCTGATTGGACAATGCATACAGGCTCCCACGTCGCAGTGGGCCTATGGTGCTTAGCTGGCGGCAAAGGCCGAGTACGCATGCTTAGTTGTTGGGATACGCATCCGAGTGCGGTTATCACCTTGAGGCCTTGGTTTCTTCTTAAGTCTTTCTTAGCCGAGCGGGGTCCCTTTGTCAAGCGCGTCTAGATCATTCGATTAGGTGTGCCTTGTTGGGCCACTTAACCCCACCACCACCTTAAACCCCAACCACCTACTCCACCAACTCACCCCATTGCACCCACTTTATAAGTGCAAACCTGAAAATCATTTATTTTTATTAAATTTTATATAATTTTTTCATGGACTAAATTTTTTAATGAAAATAGTATAATTTTATAATGTCGATAAAAATAAATGAAAACAAGAATTCCATCGAAAATTCAAAAACCAAAAGTATAGAAAACTAACACTTTAAAAATATTTCATTTCAAAAAACAATATACTTATATACCAAATGACAAGATCTAAAATTCCAAAAATTAAACCCTTTAAAAATCAAAATAATTTTAATACGAGTTTTAGAATTTTGGAGTATACAATTAATTTTATTCATTTTATTCATGCTAGAATTAGTAGAATACAAGTAACCAACTTAAAATACGATAAATACACACAACATTTATTTATCAAAACAATAAACTGAAATATATATCATGCATCCTTAGGAACCCAAATAAATCACACAATAACTTTCTTCAAATTTTAATCACATTCATTTCATTAACAAACTAAATAAGTACACCATGACACCATGTTGTTGACCCAACATTAAGTTTAATAACATTTACATTACAAAACGGTCATTAAAATAACTCATTAATTAAGAGATTAAATGCTATTACAAAACACTCAATATATATGACACATAAGAATAATAACCTGTATAAACATAACACTCCAATAAAAATATAGTATAAATATAACTTATAGCCAAAAAGCAAAGCCAGGCAAATCAACAGAACTTTGTCAACTAAGAGCATAAACTGGTAAGTCTATCTCGTACGCCACTAACACTTTTACGTGTACATAACTTGGTGTACAAACACCAACTTCTACACCAACGCTTATGTGCAACTACCTTTATTCGTTTCTTCATGCATTACATTTCCATTTTAAAAACCAGCAAATAACAAGTTTAATCCAGTCTTACAAGTCTCATAAAAAAATTATACTCTTCTTCCATTATAGCGTATTTAGCTAACATCAATGTTTTGTTTACTTAAAAAATTAAAAATCTATTATATTAATTACTTGATAAAATTTAATTTTTAAACATCTATTAATATAATACTTAATACAAAATGTGGAACTATATGAGGACATATGAATTATATGCTTCTAAAAATAACATTTAATTATGCAACACATTGCAATTTGCAATGTTTGACGAACAACACAGGCATATCAATACAGCCAAAAACACACATACACTTGACTTTAACAATATACAAATCACAAATATATTCCAACATTTACAAGCGCCACCTAACATTAGTACTTTTGTAGATAATGGAGCACAACACACAACAACTCCACATCTCTTACAAAACCATCCTTTCTCATACTTTAAAACAACTACATCTACCCAAGGCACGCTACACCCATGAGGTCAAAGAGAGAAATAAACAATACTACACCACACTAGAGATCGCAATGGAAGATGGAATAATAATCCCAATTATAGGCACCCATGATACCAAAGACAGCGCTGAACAATATTGATCCCAATTATTTCTTGTTGTTTTGCATCTTGTTCAGCGTTGTTTTTGGTCTCATGGCTGCCTATTATTGGGATCATTATTCTATCTTCCATTGTGATCTCTAGTGTGGTGTAGTATTGTTTATTTCTCTCTTTGACCTCATGGGTGTAGCGTGCCTTGGGTTGATGTAGTTGTTTGAGTATGAGAAAGGATGGTTTTGTAAGAGATGTGGAGTTGTTGTGTGTCGTGCTCCATTATCTACAAAAAGTACTATGTTAGGTGGCACTTGTAAATGTTGGAATATATTTGTGATTTGTCAATTGTTAAAGTCAAGTGTATGTGTGTTTTTGGCTGTATTGATATGCTTGTGTTGTTCGTCAAACATTGGAAATTGCAATGTGTTGCATAATTAAATGTTATTTTTAGAAGCATATAATTCATATGTCCCACATAGCTCTGTAATTTGTATCAAGTATTAATAGATTTTTACAAAATAAATTGTATCAACTAATTAATATATAGATTTATATTTTTTTAAGTAAGCAAATTTTTGAAATTAGCTAAGTACGCTAGAATGGAAGGAGAGTGATTTTGTTATGGGATATGTAAGACTCGATTGAACTTGGTATTTGTTGGTTTTTAATAATGGAAATGTAATGCGTGGAGCAACAAATAAAAGTAGTTAAACATAAGCGCTGGTGTAGAAGTTGGTGCTCGTACCTCAAGTTATGTACATGTAGAAGTGTTGGTAGTAGCACAGGAGATAGACTTACCAGTTTATGCTCCTGTTTGTTGACAAAGTTTTATACACATTGTTTTTCTTATGTGTCATATTTATATTGAGTGTTTTGTAATAGCATTTAGTCTCTTAATTAATGTGTTTGCTTTCATGACCATTTTGGAATGTATATAGTTATTAAACTTAATATTGGGTCAACATCATGGTGCACTTATTTAGTTTGCTAATGAAATGAATGCCATTAAAATTTGAAGAAAATTATTGTGTGATTTATTTTGGTTCTTAATGATGCTTTGAATTTAAGTTTATTGTTTTGATAAATTAATGTTGTATGTATTTATCGTATTCTAATTTGGTTGATTGAATTCTAGCATCAAAAAAATAATAAAACTAATTATATACCTCGAAATTCTTAAAGTCGTATTAAAATTTTTTTGACTTTTAAATGGTTTAATTTTTGGAATTTTAGATGTTGTTATATGGTATATATTGTGGTTGAAATCAAGAATTTTTAAAGTCTTAGTTTTCTGTACTTTTGGTTTTTGAGTTTTGGATAGAATTCTTGTTTTCATTTATTTTTAGGAAAAATTTACACGAATACTCCAAGAAATTTGTTATTTTATGTTAATACTCTGAAATTAAATAATTTACACCACTGCTCCCATAAATTGTTTAATTTTATATCAATACTCTGGACTACCAACTATGCAGAATATGTGACATTTTAAATGGTGACCGTAAATTAAAAAGTATGTGTTGGTAATTAAGGAGG